TTTTTTAGATCGATATTAGAACAGTATTACTCTGCATTGTCTCAGATGATTAATCTAACAGTGTTGAAAACCTAGTGAATATCCATTGAATCTGCTAAAGTGAATATTCCTTCTGCTGTAATGCAAGGTATCTGTAATAGTTTGTTTAATAGAAAATAATGTATGTGATATTTATACATGTATATTCAGCTGGTAACGTAATACAAGTACATAACTACAGACATGATATAGACAACATATTGCATGTTGGTAGTTGCTGATATTGGTCATAGCTAAAAAACAAAGGCAGATAAAGAAAACTGAAAGCGATCGCCTCTAGTGTTAGGAATGTCTTGTGTAACTCACAGGTCATTTGAATAAATGAATGTGTTAAAGAACAGTGTTTTCATTATTTGGAATAGTCCAAATAGCACATTGAAATTGACTATCAAGTATTAAATTTGTTAGACAAACATTGGTACAGAATATACACTACCGTATTCACCAATATTTACCGGTAACCATTCAGATGATGTACAAGTTGTTATATTAGCATGCTTAGTAACTTTTAAGAATTTCTGAATCATCGGTCATTGTTTAACTCGTTTTACCCTTGTTGCTACCTTAAGCTCCATACTAATGCACCTTGCTGTGACTACTGTTTATAGATGCATTTATAATATACTTGTTCTTTTAGCTGCCAAGCTCCCAAGGCATGCAGAGAAGAATACACCTGAAATTGTTACAGCGGTTTTGACATCATTCTGGTTAATATTAGCTCTAGTTGTTGCCGTAATGTCTGGTGCTGGGTCAAGTTTATACATTTCCGCATTTTTATTTCTGTTATATGGAATATTTGGTGCATCGTGGTGTCTTAAAAGAGTAATTTATACATCAGGTAAGATGAGAGGTTACTGTAAAATATTTTCACTTGGAATTAATTTTCGCTATTTTCGCTCAAGGAATGTTTTAGTGAATATACCTTTTATCAATATTTACCTCGTCATAAATCAGTGAAAATAAATTCCATGCAAAACATCCAAAAAGTCTTTTCAGCGAAAATTAATTCCAACTAAAGTAAAGTATTTAACAGTATACTAAAGGAAATAAATTAAATCAAGTAGTGCCATTATATTCATTTTGATATAAAAATGTGTAGCCTTTTTAAAATCCCTAGTTTAGTCTTTATTCTATGAAATGAATTATTTCTGTTACTTGCTATGATTTTGAGTTTATAATTTTTTGTAAAAATGTCTTTGGTTGGTTCCAGATTTCAGCTAAATCTATTATTCTGTGATTAAAAATATTGCAATAGCTACATGTACATACTGGTACATGAATTAGCAGGTCTTCAACTTCGCTAACAAGCCAAGTATCATTTCAACAATTTTGCTAAATTTCATATTTTTTTTTTCCCCCCATCAGGTTTGTTCTGTACCTGTTCAATGTGATGGCTAACAACCCAGTAGCCACAGCTTGTACCTTGATTTCTGTCTACATCATTAGAAGGCTCTTCATTAGACATTCCAGGGACTTGACCATACGCGAGTTGAACCACGCCACCTACGCATTAAATGCTAAAGTCAATGAGATAGATGAAAGACTTGACAATCTGGACAGCAGAGTTGAGGAGATATCACATCAACTTGATCGCAAATAATTGCAAGAAATTATTGATGAAAAGTAAAATGATGTTTGGTGCCAAACATCTACCTATTTTTTTTCTTGATCCTATTTATTTGCTGTATTTGGCTGTAGTAGAGGATGACTGTTTGTATGTATGTATGGAGTAGTAATAGGAGAAAGGATATGTATATTTGGAATTCTTGTCTTCACATTTGATTATCGTAATAAATGCTTGTATATGACTGGGTTGTTAATGTCAAAACAAAACCTGTTTTGTCAATAGCAGTTTGTTGCTGTAACTTTGTATATTACATGTGTTGGATTTACTATGCGGTTTTCCACACTGATGAAAATAACAGCATTTGGTTTTTACAGTAGAAAATATTTTCAAAAGTATCATGTATTCCCATATAAATATATTATGTAATTTTCTTCATTATTCATGTCATCATGATGCTGGAAATGGAAAGAAAGTTGGGGTCATTAGATAATTTATTTTGCGATAAATGCCATAGAAAATATGCATGTTTTTGCATTGGTTTCTTTATTGCAAAATTTCTTAGTAATATTTTGCACAGTACCTTAACATTGGCTGAATAAATTACCATAACATTGGCTGAAAAAATCATACAAATATTATTGCAAATTCCCAAACTTGGTATTAAATTTTGCTTTTTTCTAGTGTGATAATATTTTTTTTTTTTAGATTCAATGGTAGATTGTTTCCCTTAATGCATTGCACACATACTATATGCTCAGTAGTGCAAAATTAGAATTCAACTCAAACTTCCTTTAAAGCAAATAATTTTTCCAGACTTGAACCACTCTTTCATAAATAGATTTTTTAACCATAATAGCGGTTAACTGAAATATTGTAGTTTGTCATTTTAGTTTTGTGTAATTTTGAGTTTAGTATTTAGTTTACGGTTTAGTTAGGTTTAGGAGTATTATTCTAGTGAAGAAATAACTAATTATACGGTCTAGTGCTTCAGAGATGAAAATCAGCTGGCACACTCTGATTTGTTCACAATTTTGTCAACTAGAACGCACATTTTTCAAAAAAGATGTCACACACTAGTCACCGCTAGCTGGCTCTGCGATGTGACTTGCAGCTTCAGCAAATTACACCATTGTTAACCATTCACTGTAGTGTGTTCACCTGTGGTTGTATGTACCGGTATATGGAAATAACTAATACATGTAGAATATTGTGAACGTTTTTTTGACTCATTTTTCAGAATTTTACAATTTTAAGTATTTTTGAGTTTATTAATTGTTAAATGAATATTTTATATTGATTAGGGGTAGTTCAACATTTCATTATAATAATTGTTCTGTATTTTTGAAAACATTTTAAGACTATGTTTGTATATGTTGTCACTGTCAATTAATTTTTGCATATACACTGCATCAACACTTCTAGTGATGTCATTTGATGTGTTCTACATTTATCCATGTCATTGAGCTGCGTGTTATTTATGATGTCACTGGGCATTGTGCCATTGTTTATGATGTCACTGAACAGTGTGCCATTGTTTATGATGTCACTGAACAGTGTTCTATTGTTTATGATGTCACTGGGCATTGTGCCATTGTTTATGATGTCACTGAACAGTGTGCCATTGTTTATGATGTCACTGAACAGTGTGCTATTGTTTATGATGTCACTGAACAGTGTGCTATTGTTTTTGATGTCACTGAACAGTGTGCTATTGTTTATGATGTCACTGAACAGTGTGCTATTGTTTATGATGTCACTGAACAGTGCTATTGTTTATGATGTCACTGGGCATTGTGCCATTGTTTATGATGTCACTGACCAGTGTGCCATTGTTTATGATGTCACTGAACAGTGTGCCATTGTTTATGATGTCACTGAACAGTGTGCTATTGTTTATGATGTCACTGAACAGTGTGCTATTGTTTATGATGTCATTGAACAGTGTGCTATTGTTAGTCCCCGTTCGAACGAAGTCCGAAAACGGGGACTTATGTTTTGACCTCCATGTATCCGTGCGTGTGTGCGTGCGTGCGTGCGTGCGTGCGTGTTTGCGTGCGTCTGTGCGTGCGTGCGTTC